AGATGGAGTAAGGATTCGATTTCATGACGAGGCAACTGTTAAAGTATTTTTTATATGATTCCCACAAATTTAAAATTTAGAATAACTTGGGAAAAAAAAAACATCAATAATAATTTTCTTTTAAATCGATAGTGATTCTATAAATCGATGAAACGTATGTAAGATACTGATAGCCGATACAATATCACCTTTGTGCATCACGGGCGGATCGGGGGCTTTCGGGCTGAAGCTCCCTTCCCCAAACATTGTAAAATATAACCATGTTTTATGGAAAAAAATATTTGAAAAATATCTCTTAAAGTATTATTGCCCGTGTAATTATATTTAAAAGAACTTCAGGAATCACTTAAACTCCATTTCATATAGGAATTTAGTTTCTGTCTTTTTTTCCAAAGTAATTATCGTTATTTTTATGAAGAAAAAAAAAACTTTCGGGCTGAAGCCCTCCCCAAAATTAAATCCTGGATCCGCTAGTTTGTGCATCGATGATTTAAACATCACTTGACTGCACTGGCGAATCCATGAAGGGGGAAAAAATATTCTGTTTTTATTTTTTGTGACACATTTATCACGCAAAAATTTTATTTAAGATCTAACTAATTGAAAATACGACTTCTTAAGGCGAGTTTTGGGCTATTTTTGTGAAGAGTGAATTAGATTGAGCCGTCAGATTCCGCCGTCAGAAGTGTTAGGGAGGCAAGAAGGGAAAAAATATTGTTGAAAACCAAATGATGATGAGTTTTATTGAAGATATGGATTAAAATATCCCAAAAACTAAAAATCTGACCTGCATACTGTAAACGAGGAAAATGTTCACAGCATTGCATCCTCTTTATAATGGGCTGTTATTTATAATTTATATTGCATAATAATAATCTCACCTTGCTAATATTTTCACTTCTATCGTCTGCTCTAAAGCATAGCACCTTATTTATTTTTTTTTTCTTAAGCCGTCTGACTTCTTCGACTTTTGCTATCAGTCTTCTCGCAGCATTGAGCCTGTTATAGGTGATAATTGTGATCGATTTTTTCTCTTGAAGATATCCAGGGAGCACGTGGTTTGCGATTACTGTCACTCCCTCTATATCAGGCGCACTTTCCTGAAGGATAGTTGGCAATCATTCTGGAAACCTGGAGGACCAAGAGCTATTGCTTAAGACACAGGGGTCGCTCATCTCCCTATGAATCACCAAGCAGGAATCAAACCCGTGCCGTAGTGGTCTACGAAGCAATAGAGGAGTAGAGCCTGCACTTATTTATTTTAATTTTTAATTTTTTTTTTTCCTACTTTATTTTTGTTATTAAATCCCGCGAACGGGATTTGAACTCATGGCATGAAACTTTTTCAGACGCTTTAACTCGCTTAACCATCGCGGCCCCAATTTAAAAGTAAGAAAATATGTTTTTTGTTATCCCATTATCATCAGATCCTTGACTTCTTTATTCACATTACTTTATATATATATATATATATATATATATATATATATATATATATATATATATATACTAATATATATATATATATATATATACTAATATATATATATATATATATATATATATATATATATATATATATATATATATACATTCGTTATATCAACTAAATACATGAAAAATCTATTGCTTAAATATTTTTGGAGTCAATTTTGGTTTATTATTTTCCATAATGAACTATTGTGATCAATAAAAAAATTCAAAAACTTAACCCCCTCTCAAAATTTGTGGTTTCACGATAAGTAGGGTTCGAAAAACGAATAAATTGTTTGTTTTTTTCGTCCGCCGTTCGCGCATTTTCTCCGAAACTACTGGGCCGATTTTTTTTTTCAAATTTGGATATAAAATCAAAACGTTTTTTTTTTAAGTTTACGGAATTTCCTAAAAATCAAAAAAAATTTTTTGTTAAAATCGGACAATTAGGAGCAATGATATGGTCTCCAGTTTTTGTTATATGTTCTACTGCAAATATTATATCATTTGTTTTGGTTTTTAAACCTTGAATGTGTTACTGAAGTAATGCTATTTTTTTTTAGCATATCACTAATGATTAAAAAAAAAATGTTTAGTCCCATAATTGGAATAGCCTTTTATTTATTTTTATTTGTAACTAGGAAGGTAATGTTACTTTAGATGTATAATTGTTTGGAAATAATAAACAATTGTGTAATAATTTGCAGCGTTTTTTTTTTTATTACAGATCAATAAAAATCTTAAAAACGGGTGAATTTCATCGTTTTGGATAACAAATATGTTTTAAGATTTATATTCTAGTGATGGATATTTTTCAAAAGATCGGAAACCTAAAAAAAAAACTAATAATTATATCATGGTGAAATATGTTTGTCACCTTTTGACAAATGCGGATTTTAATGAAAATTAGTACAATATTAATATTTTTAACGGACAGTGGCAAACATCTTTAACTTTTGCTTTCTCGCTAACAAAAGTAGGAGAGCTTTGTATTGGTATGGGAGGTCCAGTTTTAATAAAATTACCATCTTAGTGCATTGTGAGCGTATTTTCTGATTGGCTATACTTATGTAACGATTTAATGAGCGAACTCCTGGATCAGTTTGTAAGTTTGATGGCTCAAATTTTTGTGTGAGATCTCTTGATTATTGAAAAATATTGAACTAAAAACACCGACAAGTTGTTGTATAAAATGTGTTTAACCAATTCGCCAAAAAGCAAATAACGATCTGGACCTATATTTATATTTTTTAAGGTACACTATATCCATTGGTTATTGACCTATAATATATATATCTAGGGCAGTTTCTCACCCTAGATCATCTTTAGGGGCTCATCGAACCTAGAATTCACCACGGCATTCAGAAGTGACAGGACATTGGCGATCTTTGCGTGGCATATGGCTGGCCGAGGAACGACTTGTATGCACGTCTTTCCTCGCCGACGTGAAAAGCTGACGCGTGTCCATGAAGGAGAAAAGACAACAATGTGAGTTCTCCGAGCCCGTTGGTTATTCACACCAGTTAGGATACGAGGGCGTGCAAAGTCAGTACAAGGTTGGCGTGACTAACTTGCCCATGGGCAACAATTGGGGCACTCTTAACTAACAAATATTTTTTTTTTATTATTGAAATTTACAACTGTATAATGGTAAATACAACCAGTAAATATGAAATAAGTAACTTGACATGTACAACATGAAGAGAAACTACCCATTGGTAGCACTCCAATTATATTTCTATATTAGAAGATCCCGAGGCCATCTTCTTTACACACGCCTTTGATGATTATCAGGAATAGAAAAGAAAGCAAGGTTAGAAACAAGAGGATTCGGATGGTTTAGAAGTTTATTCTGGAAGGACAGGTATCTGGATTGAGCTAAATCGGAAATATATTATACGTTAAGATCGTTATGGGTGATTTTATTTGTGACAAAATAGGGAGCATTAAGGATTTTGGATTGTAAGATTAGATACGAGAGGAATTTGATGGTTTAGTAGAGCCCCAAAGCTCGATCCCGTAAGTCCAAAACGTCGGGCGGTTTCTAGTCGTTTCAGTCTGGTATGGGAGTTCTAAGTGAGTCGTTTGTCCAGGTGGAGTCCTAGGTATCGGATTTGTTCAACAGAGGTAAGTGGGCTATTGTTGAAGGATACTGTAGGACAGGAAGTCATAGATTTACGACGAAGAGGAACGGTAATTTGATGGGATTTATTTTAATCCTCCAATTTTGACACCATTTTTCAAGACTTGCGATGTGTGATTGAAGAGTTTGGGATGCAATAGAGATCAATAAGCATTGTTATGATTGACTTTGAAGTATCTGAACAAACAAATATAACGTAAGTAAATGAAGAAAAACCATAATTGTGGATTGATGGGTAACTGTAGCGAAAACTTGAAGAGAAGATTGGTTGGAGAGATCAGACAAAAAAAAAAGAAAAAAAAAAGAAAAGTAAAAATAAATAAGTATATTTATTTTTGCTGATGTTTCGGCCCTAAGTTCAGGCCTTAATCAGGGCTGGTCAAACGAAAGGTTACCGGAAGACAGATACTTGTCCCGTAAACTAAAAGAAACTTGTAAAATAAAGCTCTGTTTATTTTTTCATCATATTTATTTTTATTTCCATAGCTACGTTTCGGCCGGTAAGCCATCTTCAAACTGTTTTATCCACGGCAATGCTTTTTGCCGGTAGTCCAAAGTCTAATTAGACATTGCATGCAAAAAGCATGGTTAGATAAAACAGTTTGAAGATGGCTTACTGGCCGAAACGTAGCTGTGAAAATTAAAATAAATATGGTGAAGAAATAAACAGAGCCTTATTTTATAATATTAGACATTTTCACCAAAAAGAAGCACATATGTTAAAAGGAACTTTTAATTTTTTATTTAATTTTATGCTGTATAACATTTGTTTCAAAATTAAATAAGGTTTCTATTTTATATTTTAGAGCTCAAAACCCCTAAATGGAAACGCTCAATAATCCCGCATGGACTATAGAAATAGTTTAATAATATTGCTAATTATATCATCTTTATATGTTACTTCTCAAAATTGTTTGTGTCAATACACCATATCGCCATTAATTCTCTATCAAATCCATTTTTATTGATTGAGTCAAAATTTTGAAGAAAAGGAAACTTTTTTGCGCATGGCTTAACAGAGATGCATCAGTAATCTCGGATAAAAATCACGGAGGGCAAGCATGGTACGGCTTACTTTTTAAGTGAGTTTCGGTTCTACATATTCTGAAACGTAAAACAACAGAATTTGAGAAAATATTATTTTGTTGGAGAATAATGGGAATTAAATTTTTTTTTATCGAAAATATTAAACCAAACCCAAATACCATAATAAATATTAGTCTATTGTTCCTGAAATGAACAAATTAAACATTATTTTTTTTGTAATTTTAATATACAATTCCACAAAAGAACCACTGAACGTCAAGATGTCGAATAGCCGGATTATATATATATATATATATATATACACACGAGTATACTCATGAATATAGGCTAAGAAATGCTATTCATCGATGCCCTTTAAGTCAGTCATTATGTTCTCGACCGTTTCAGTCGATTCACTCTGCAGAAGTGCCAAAGCTTGCTTCACCGTTCCGTTTTTCTTAGTTCTGTTATTTAATTCTCTTTTCTTTTCTTTCAACTCCTGACAAAGAACGGTCTGTAGCCTTTCGATTGTTTTTTTTTGTTCTTGGATGACAAGCTGTTCCATAGTCTCACTATCAGCGGATTTCAATGGTCGTTGCGATTTGATTGGAGTTCGACCCAATTGGCATTTATTGCCTGCTACTCGAGGTCTTGACGTTCAGTGGTCCCTTTAGGTAAAAAATGGAGAAATTTAATGTTTAATTCGTCCTATGACCTATACAACCTCATTATTTGGACATTTTGAGGCTGTAGGTCACACCAAACGGCTCAATATTTTTGAAGGCAACATTTTTTTCTCGAGTGTGTGTTCGAATTATCTTACGATTCAAGTGGAAATGGATATTTACGAGTTTTCAGTACCAAATTAAATAGACATAGTTTGACGATCTCCAGATTGAAAACGGCCAAATTACGCAAAATTTTTCTAAATAAAATCTTTGTAGATTACGATGAAATGGAACTATTTACATAGTTTCAGGCGGATGATAGTAATTTGTCAAAAAGGGGTATGTACCACGGACTAATATACATATATTGCTTTTACAGACCTTGTATATCGCCTTTACCAGCAGTCTCTGCTTATTATAAGCTATTCCCTTCCAGTTAACTGTACGTAACTCTATGACATCTTTGTTGATTCGATTAATGCATCTGATTGGCCTTACTGAGGTACTTTTGCCAATTACTGAGGTATTAATTGTTATGAAGATATTATGAGGCTTTCTGATGTAATGATCTGAGCTTTATGACCCACCCATCTTAACCTCCTTGCCTTCATATCATCAGAAACTGACCAGTTTCTGTAATCATTCCTTTTCCTCTGAACTCAGATCGTTGCTGTTATCATGCGGAGTATTTTCCCCGAAAATCTTACAATACTTCATTCTAGAGTGCTGGTTATTGTTCAGATCTGTAAGTCTTATATCTGAACTGGCTTTATCATAGCATTGTAAACTCATGATATGAATTTGTTTTATAAGGAAATGATCTATAAAAATAAAGTTTTAATTACGGAAAAAAACTCCAATAAATCCCATCTTATCACCTTTACCATTCGTCGTAAACCAACGACTTTCTGTCCTACAGTCTCCTTTAACAATACTCCACTTATGCCTGTTGAGCAAATCCGATACCTAGGACTCTACCTGGACAAACGACTAACTTGAAATCCTACTAGACAAACGCTCTAAACTTCCCATTAATTACAAAAGACTCATATACTTGACTATAATAAGACCTATTTTGACTTATAGAGTTGAGCTATGGGGCTCCACTAAACCATCGAATTCCTCTCGCATCCAATCCTTACAATCCAAAATCCTTCGTAAAATCCTCAATGCTCCTTACTTTGTCACTAATAAAATTATCCATAAAGACCTTAATGTTCCTTATGTTTCAGATCTGGCCCAATCCAGATACTTATCCTTCCATGATAAACTTCAGAATCATCCCAACCCTCTCGTTTCTAACCTTGGTTACTCTTCAATTCCTGATAACCCTCCGAGGCGTCTGAAAAGAAGATCGCCCCGTGATCTCCTAATGTAGTCATATCATTAGAGTGCTACCATTGGGTAGTTACTCAGCAAGTGTTTTCATGTCATTATATCCATTATGTCCAAATTTACTAGATTTATTTATTTAATACAGTTGTAAATGTCATTATGAAATAAAAAAAAAATTAAAAAAAAAACAGAAACATGTAATCACCACAAACCTTCATTGTCAAAGGACTACCGCGACAGAATACTATCACTATTCAAAAAAGAGTTAATATTTAAAATTTGAAAGCATAACACCATGATCGATAAAGATGTTATCAATTAAAAGTTTTAGTTAACTGAAACTCTATCAGATGAACTGAAATATTAACTAGCATTTTTAGGACTGGTCTATGACACAACAACGTTTATATGTCGCTGAAGGCTTGGGTATAATTTAGAAGAAAAAAAAAATATGAATACTATTATGACCAAAGTTTCGCAAGGCGTGCAATATTCAAGAGAGCAGTGTATTAGATAACGAGCAATAACCTTTTGATCGAAGGTACCAAGACATAACGACACACCGCAACACGAAGACAGGTCCACTTCCTCTTCTCGCTGGTTAGCGGATGACACGACATTCTAATGATGTAGTACAATCACCATTGTGGTCGAGAGTATATGGTCCGCTATCATCAGTAATATCGATTTCTTAACTCTCACTTCTAGATCGATCACGGAGCTCAATCGATGCCTTGATTGTGAGGTGGGTGAATAGGGGATACTCCCATAATCAGTAAGGTAATAATAAAGGCGAAAGAGATGGTAATAAGTGGAAAAGGCTACGTCATTAGGTAACCAGGGCAGGGCAAGTATATAGGATGCGATACGCTATCATCAGGTCGAATTTACGTTGTTATGAAAATGATTCAAGCAATCTGTAGGCTTCTTTATTTTAAACGCAAATACTACTAGGAGCTACTGTACTACCAGGAGATATATAGAAAAAAAAACGTCTGCCATGTACCGCCATCCTCACCGTTTTCATTGGCTAAAAATTATCTATATTACAAGGTCCAAAAGTTTCCGTATGAGTATAAAATCACTGGAAAGAGCAGTTTTCAGGAATTCAATAATTTCTCAACATATACGGCATTGAAATCTACGAGTTTTGTTCATCTTCGAATACGAAAGACTTCCTCATTTGCATACGACTTTTTGCACTAACAGTAGTGATGTACATTTAAAAGGTATGTTTTGACTCGTAAAACGGATCGAACAAAACATCCACAGAAAAAAAAAAACTTTTTGTTTGTTCGGACTAATACTTTTCTTCAGTCAGAACAAAAAACTAATTAAGCTGGAATATAAAAATATGCTTGAAGTTCAAATAACTTTGACGAGCTAGTTGAACTTCAATAGAAATAAACACAATCACAAATAAGACTTTTTTATTTTTACACGAAATCTAAGTAACGACAGTAAGTGTCATGCCAGTAACATTTGGAATCAACCAATCAATACAGTATAAATTAACTTTTTGAATAAAACCTGAAATTTTCTAACCCCATAAAAACATTGTATTAACCGAACTCCCACTCCATATGGTCAATGCCTTCCACATTTCACAGCCATTATATTGTTAACAATTACTTATATTAATTTAACTATTAAATGTAATTCAATGAAATTGATACTAGGTAATTTCTAATCTATTCTCCGAATTTCCTCCAAGTTTGGATCAAAATAGAACGGGCCGTTTTCAAACTATAGCCGCGTCAAATAATACAGCTGAAAGCGATGTATATTTTTGGAATTATTGGATAGAATTAGATAAAATTCATAGATACTTGATTATCTATTAATCAATCCCTAACTTTTCTCAAAATTTTAGCCAAATAGAACGTGTAGTTTAAGATATATAGATAGACGTCTAGGTGAAAACACGTTTGCTCATATATAAGATAAAGTAGAGGACGGAATTCAATTAAATTAATACTACAGAATATTTTTACCAATATCTACCTTTTATCCAACTTTGAGCCAAATCGAACGAGCCATTTCTGAAATATTGACATATCAAAGAAAATACGTTTGCGCGTGCGTAAGCGAAAGTCTAAGATGGAATTTGATCAAATTGATATAGGACCATCTTGGCACCAATCCGCACGATTGCTGGAAATTTCATAAAAATTGGATGAACGGTACTAGGTGATATGTCAGTCACATCAATTTGACTACACCGAACCAAATTTGATCCTTGATGCATCAAATGTAAACCGCGAGAATATTAAAATTTTCGATTCTGAGCACAATTTCTTTTAACTTTCCTCAAGAATGTAAAGCATTCCTACGCTCGGTAGGGAGAAAGTGAAAATGATGAATTTTAGAATTGATTCAGGAAGTAGAACTGGTTACTTATAAACAAAAAAAAAGAGACAAAGTTGCCCCAGTTGACAATACTAAAGATTATCTTTTGTCAAAATAAAATAAATTTATAATAATAAAAGGCTAAAAGAACCCAAAGGTTCGATGCCGACATCACCAAACACTGTCTACACACTGCGCTCCACCGGTTGTCGTCCAATCCCTGTAACTTCAGATTGGCCTTAGCTATCTTCCCACCTTCGCTTCGGTCTACTCCTCGGACGTTTACCAGTCGGCACAGGAAATATTAACCTTTTAGGAATTCTTAAAAGAAATGTATGCTGAGCAAAATTTGCACAATTATAGTATACCTCAAAATGCCGTAAAATAAAATTACGAACAAAATAATCCTCAGTAAAAATGAAAATGCATAAAACAAAATATTCCTTTCCCACAGTTTGGAGAAAATAGAAGGAATAGGCTGGGAAACCAAGCATCCTGACGGTCCAGACTCGTCCCCTTGAGAGTATTTTTTTGTTCAAACGAAAAAATCACTTGAAAACGATTCGAAAGCGATGAAGAAGTCGAGGAGCACGTGTTCAATTTGCTAACAACACGCCATCAAACTTTTTTATGTACAAGAGATATCCAAGCTCCCGAATAGATGACGAAAGTCTATAAAACAGGGAGGAGATTATATTTAGAAATACTAAAAATATAAAATTAGTATAATATTAATCCGTAAATGTATAAGAAATAATCATAGTTTAGTAATTGCACCGTGTGAATAATCAACATAGGCCAGTGAATCTTTAAACAGGGTATATCAGTTGTTAATGGACAAACTCTAGGAGGCAATTCTAGACAAAATTTCCAACAAAAAAGTTGATGCATGGGCCAATTCCACACGGAAAAGAAGTTAAGACCAATTTTATGTCATTATTAAGATGTTCAAGTTTTTTTATTGAATAAGAAGGGATTGCTCAAAAACTATTCAAAGATAATTACATTTTAACTACACTATCATAAAGTACACAAAATTTTCTTTTCGAAAACAGTGATTAAAGTTTTTAAGGTCAATGATAAAAGGGACTTTCAGAAGATCTAATACGGCCGCTGTACTGCTGCATTTACAGTACTTATACAATATGCTGCTCTATCTCTGAAATCCCTGTTCGTGAAATAATTCAGCATAATGGTAGGCTTTGCATTATTAGTCCTATCGTACCGAATTATATATTAAGATCACAGGCGGATCTCCAGGGGGGCTTTCGGGCTAAAGCCCCCTCCTCAAAAACGGTAAGATATGACCATGTTTTATAGAAAAAAATATAAAAAATTGTCTCTTAAAGTACTATTGTTCGTGTGATTTACATTTAATAGGACTTCAAGAACCACTTAAACACCATTTCATATAGGTAGTTCATTTCTTTCTTTTTTTTAAAATTAATTATCGTTATATATATGAAAAAAAAATCTACCGGTCTGAAGACCTCCTCCAAAATTAAATTCTGGATCTGCTAGTGATTAAGATAGATGACCTTCAACTGATCCATATATAAAAAAATGACAGTTAAAAAAAAAAAAATAGGCAAATGAGGTCAGTATAGCTTCCTCACCATTTTCATTGGTTCCACACTTACGTATATGTCAAGGTCAACTACTATTTTCACTAATTCTCACCTTTCTTCTAACTTTGAACCAAATGAATCGAGGAGTTTCTGAAATATCAGCATATCTTAGAAAATACATTTGCGCGTGAGCAACAGAAAATACTGTACACAATTTAATAAAATATATACAGCATCATTACTTTACCAAAACCCACCTTCCTTTTAACTTTGAGCGAAATCGAACGAGCCTTTTTTGAAATATCACAATTTAATAAAATATATACAGCATCATTACTTTACCAAAACCCACCTTCCTTTTAACTTTGAGCGAAATCGAACGAGCCTTTTTTGAAATATCAGCTTACCTAAGAATATAAATTTCCGCATGCACAATCTGAAGTAATATATTGAATTAAATGAAATAGGCCATCTAGGCACAATTCCTGAAAATTTCATGAAAAATCGCATAAACGGTAGTAGTTGATATGCCCGTCACATCAATTTGACTCTAGACACCGAACCAAATTTGATCATTGATGTCTGATTGCGCCTCTTTTGAGCCTCTACTGGTCTTTAATACCAGTAATGGGGCACATTGAAGGGCGCTGGGATCTCCCTAAGTCCTGTATTTCCTTCCACGAGTGGACAGAAAGGCTTAGCTCGGAGATGTTGAGTGAATGATTTTTTTTTTTTTTTTTTTTTTTTTTTTTTTTTTTTTTTTTTTTTTTTTTTTTTTTTTTTTTTTTAGATATTTTATAGAACCATGTGGGTAATTGTGTAGTTATTTTCATTAGCTTATTTTCGTTTATTTTATTTTAGTTTGCAAACATTTATTTTTAGGATTATTATTTTTCTGAATTATTTATTTTTATTTATTGTGAATGGAGTGTGAATGTGCTCTTTAAACAATGTTATAAATGTCCTTAATTGTGATGGATTGTAATATCTCTCAATAAATATGATGCCTGAAGCGTAAAACGCGAGTGGAAATTTTATATTCTGAGCACAATTTTTTTTTTTAAATCCCGCACGAATACAAAGCTTCCCTAACTTCGGTAGTGGGAAGCAAACTGGTAATAATAGGAACAATAATATTTTTAGTATTAATTTTTTTCTCGATACTTGCTTTCATTTGGTACCTGTAGCTGTGTTATAATTTTTAAAAAACAACAACAATTATTGTGATAGTTTAAGTATTCAACTCAAGATATAGACAAACGAAAACATTTTTTTTTTTTCTGTTTTGGGGAAGGTTTCAACTCGAAAGATCCCCCTCCACTTCTTCTGGATCTAGCAGTGATGTCAAGTTGCACGATTTGAATATGAAATTAGCAAATATACACAGAAAGCTTTCTATAAATTACATCGACACCTGAATGAAGACGTTTCAGCCATGACCAATAGGGGACTCTTCTGTTTCGTTTCCACCGTACAATACTATCTATACCCCTCCAAAGAGATATAAAAGAAGAGAGGACACCGCGAACCCCAGTGACCGCCATTGAGGGGCTATAAATCGAAGCTGCTTTCTATCAGGAGCTATAATAGTCCCCCAGCCTGGAGCTGGAGCTGGAGAAATGACAACTCCTCTGTTCCTTTCACTGGCGGTTTCTCTTTGCCGAGGTATCCTTCACGTCTGCGCAAGGCCGCCTCGAGATCGC